GGTAAGGGGTGGTTTTGATAATGAAACGGTAAAAATGCGACACGTGTATTTTCACTCATTTTAAATTATTAGTAGATATATATTTTCATAAAAATAATTACAAATTTTTAAATTTACTCAAAGAAAACATTTAAGACAAACATAGTTACAGCAACTAGGTTGTTTTCTTACATTTTGCTATAGATGTTTGTTATATCGTTGATAGTCAACTTAGTCATTTATTAATGGGACCATACTAATTAATTAATCGACACGTGTTTAGTTTTTTTTTTTTTTAATTTAAATTATTTTAAAGGTGGAAATCGAATATTCAACATGAAGGTATGGAGATCTTTACAAAGCTAATTATGTTCAAATTGACATTACTTTACTCCATTTTTTAAAACGTCAAAAATAGTTTTTCGTACAATTAAAAATAAGAAAATAACGAATTAAAACAAGTTATTCCCAAAGAAATAGAGTCATATCTAATAGACTTGAACACAAGGAGGAAAAATGGCCAATTCGTAACGCTACAACCTCTACCAACTCCATCAAATCAACGCGTCAACCATAGCTTTCTACCAACTTTTATAACATTTAAAACCAATTATGGACGATTAATTTAGAACCGATCAAAACACTTCAACTTTCAACCTAGATTTTTAATTGTCCTTTAACATTAATTTCAGCTAAAAAAAAAATAGTCAAAGTTTACTCATTATTTTAGACTTGGTATAGTCCATCAGGTTACAAGCTCATAATCTATATTTTAATTGTAATATTTATCCACAAATTAACAATTTTTTTTAAATGGATTAAAATAATTAGCACGATTAATGAAGGATCATCATAGATTATTATAAATTAAATTAGGAGTATTTTGAAAGGACTCACAAATAGTTATTGGATTATAATGTAATTAAAACATAAATAACCATATTTAAAAAATAGAGCGTCTAGATGTGTACTTGGAAGAAGAGACTATTCCATTGTCTTGGTCAAATATTATAATAATAACATAGAAACAATTTTGGAAAAATACCTAATTGTTTTTACTATTTTTTTTTTTATATGGAAACGAAAAATCAAAATTTTTTTTTTGAACGAAAATTCAATATAGAAGAAATTGCATTAGTAAATTTGAAATGTAATTTAACAAAATTACAAAATTAAAGATGAAAATTGGTGAAATAAAGGAAGCCTAAGGAAGCTTCTTAAGTAACTTATTAATTATTAATTTTGATTAAGACATCCACCTGGTCTCTAATTTAATTTATTTTGGAGTTTGAAAATTTTGGTTAAAGAGTACTAAATTAATTATGATTATTTTTTATTTGTTTTAAAAATGATGTTTTTTTTTTGTTGAGATATTTAAAAAATTGATGTTTCAATTGGAACTGCAACACATATTTCAACACGGCCTTGACATTGACTAGAACCCCACCGTAATTTTGACTTTCTTTCCTTACTATTGTTTTTTTATTATTATTTTTTAATTTACATAATAACTTCAACCTATTCATATTTATTTAATTAAATAATTTAGAAAAGTAATGTTATTGAGCTCAGCTGCTCGATAGTTATCCAAATAATTTTACAGGCATTTTATTATATATATATATATATATAAAAGAAATAATTTAAACACAATTAGAATTTATTAATTTTTTTAAATGGTTAAATAAAATGAATTTATATTAGTATTTAGTTAATAATGGGAATTTCAAATAATTTTGATTTTTTGGCAATAAAATAAACCACCAAACTGATGTGGAATTGAATCATTTAATGTTTTTATTTTTAATTTTCGCGTGAAAGAGATTTGATGAGGTTGATTTGACCACTATGTTTAAAAGTCAACACATTAACCAACCTGCATTTTTGTTGATTAATACATTCAACTAATTATAATTAAACAAAAAAAAAAATTGCTTTAAGCCTTGTTTGATAACTTCCAAACATGCCGGATTGCCGTGTCCACTCATTTAAGCATTTTTTAAAAATTATTTTTTTCCTTAAAAAGTAATTATTTTTAAACTGGTTTTAATTTAAAAGATTGTACTGAAGGTAAAATCATTACACAAATAAAGGAGTAACTTTAATTTGAGGGTACTTTGGTAATTTAACACTTCTTATTATATGGCTTTTGAATTGTTCTTTTTATAATTAATTTAACCAGATTATTGAAAAAATTTCTATTTACCATTTTTAATTTTTTTAAATATATATATATTTTTTGCTTCTAATCACTTAAAGACTAATTCAAAGATGTCATTATTCAAATTGTTATATTAAAAAATATTATCTTAACAAAAGATGTCCAATAAAATATAAATTGAAATATTTACATGGAATTATATTACTTGCTATACATATTTTTTTAATTTATTTTTCCAATCATAAAAATAAAAATAAAAATACAATTTATTATTTAGAATGCGCCTTATAATTTGAGGCACTTGAAATGTTTATAATAAGCAATTAGACGAGGAGTGTGAAATTACAAATATCCCCAATTAATTAATAATTAATTAAATCACTAAATATATATACTTTGAGATTCAATAACCAGCCAGACGAGAACCAGAGTCTCATGCTCCATCGGATCTTCTTCTACTTCCTGAACGGAGCTCTCAAATGGCTGCCGCAAAATTCTCCGTCGCAGTCGCCGTCACCGTCCTTTTAGCTGTTTTCTTCTTTAACCGAGCCGAATCGCAGTTTCTCTGCAAGCAATCCTCCTGCCGTGGAGATTTCTCGGTGGCTGTTCGATTCCCGTTCCGACTGAAGAACACGCAGGATTCTCGTTGTGGATTCAAGCCGGATTTCGACCTGTACTGCAACAATCGGAGGCAGACGATTCTGAATCTCCCGGACGCCGGCGACGTCGTGGTGTTGTTCATCGATTACAAATCTCAGAGTTTATGGATCAACGATCCCGATCAATGCTTTCCGAGACGACTCCTAATCGACTCTTTCGATCTAAAAAACTCGCCGTTCACTTCCTACTACCGATCCGAACCCTACACCGTCCTCAATTGTTCGTATCCCGTTGAAACGCTGCCGTTTGATCGTGTACAGAAGATCAAATGTATGAGCGGCGGAAACTACTCTGTTATCACCGTGCCGAACAGAGACCTAGATATGGTTAACGCTTTCCTGCCGTCGCAGTGTAACGTAAGAACAGATACAGTGCACGATTGAATCGAAACCTCGTCGTGTTTGGATTTGATTTGCAATCGGCGTTTGATTTTTCGTGTTTGTGATTATTAGGTTATTGCGACAAGGAAGCTTCCATCGACAAGGATGGAACTCGACGACGGAATGGTAGTGAAGTGGAGCAATCCGAACTGCGGAAATTGCGAGGCGCGCGGTGGAGATTGTGGATTCAAATCCAATTCGAGTGCTGAAATCCAGTGTTTCAATCTTCCGAAGAGCGGTATGTAAATCTTTGTTGTTCTGTGTTTTCTCTCCGTCTTTTTCGATTTCTTGTTTCCGGCGGGAATATTTGTGAAATCGGGAGAGATATTCGAGAGTTTCCGGCCATCGGAAGTGGCGTCAACGGCGGAGAGACGAATCGGAAACTGCAGTCAACCTGGAAGAAGTCAACCAAAAAGAGTGCAAAAAGGCCAGTGGTTCATAAGATGAAGAAATTTGTGACCACTGTCCACCTCCACAGGCTTCGACGGATTTTTTAAAAACATTAATAAACCGAATTACAATAATTATAGCAGTTTTTGTTGAAAATAAAATTTTATGGTGTTTTCTTTTCATAATTTCTTAAATATAAATTATGTTTTTTCTAAAGCAAATAAGTCTTTTTTTTTCCTTTCCAGCTTCTTGTTTTTCTAAGCTCAAAATTTATTTTAGTTTTTTTTTTTTATTTTATTTTAAATATAATCCAATTTAGTTATTTAATTAACGGTTTATTATGCTATTAAATTGAAAATTAACAAGGACTAATATATATTGTCGAGGTTTGACTGAATCAAGTAAGAACCAAAAAATATATATATATATATATATATATTATTTATTCAGTCTTATACACGAAAGAATAATATTATTTAAGAACTCTGTTTGACCAATTATTTGATAATTAAATAATAAGTGATGATTTTCCAGGGATTCCAAGGGGTGCGAAATATGGCTTGATCATTGGCGTGGGAATCCCGGGCCTCCTTTTTATAATTGGGCTGGGCTGTTATGTCTGCGGCAAATTCAAGGCCTTCACTCGGCCCAATCGTCCAACAACAAACCTCTCCCTCTCGATGGGCCACCAACCCACTTCCGCCGTAGCAGGCCTCGACAAGCCGACCATCGAATCCTTCCCCAAGACACAATTGGGCGAGAGCCGACGACTGCCAAAGCCCAACGACACCACCTGCGCAATTTGCCTGTCGGAGTATCAGCCTAAGGAAACCATCAGAACCATACCAGATTGTCGTCACTTTTTCCATTCTAATTGCATCGATGAGTGGCTTAAATTAAATGCCACGTGTCCAGTCTGCCGGAACTCGCCCGAGGATTCCTCCGCTGCCTCTACCCCTTCTCGGACCGTGTCAATGTCGGTGTCCATGTCACCAAGATCCGTGGCATCGTTGCCACGTCATGACTAATGAAGTTTTAAGTATGGTTGTTAAATTGTTTTGCATTTTGTGTATATGTAGATCAACTTTCATGCTTTCAATCCTAGCATAATTTTGATGCGTGGTTGAATTTCTCTTCTAATTTTGTTATTTAAGAAACAAAAAAAATCTCTGACTCGTAAAAATTATACCAACAAGTTTTATTCGACGTGGTAGACATATTTTTTATGAATTTTTTAAAAATTTTGAAATTTAATTTCATTTAGAGAAATAATGTTATATAAATACCCCAATAATTGATAGAATTAAAATTTAAAAGCCTATAATTTTTCTAAAATGATTTAAAATGAACATAGTTTAAATTAGTTTCATGTATTTTTTTTCGTTGTATTCAAAAGTTAATTTAAAAATAAATAACTAAAGGTTTGATTGAAAAGGAAAATCGAACTCACCGTTTTAAGCTTTCTAAACCCAAAACCCCTCGTTTCCGTCTCGTCGTACGCGCCACGCTTCGATTTCAGCTGTTCTTCTGGCTTCCTCCCTCCTCCGCTCCCGTCCTCGCATCGCCGGCGAGCTCACAGGCAGGTACTTATTTTTCTTGTTTTTCCATTTTCTGCTCCCAATCTTCTTAATCACCACCTCATTTGACTACTGATCGTCTTCGATGAGTGTTTCAAACTTTCAAGCAGATTTACCTAATTCAAATCGCTGAACACGCTGTTTTTCCTTTCACTGTTTACTTTCTTTCTACTATTTGGCTGAAGCATCATCCAAAGAAACAAACTAATCAATCGTTTGCATCTCAAAAGCAAGCGAGCAATCTGAAAAAATTATTCAATTTCTTGGCTGCACTCTTGATAGTGGATTTTAATTTGTCTTGTAAGAAAGTTTCAATCAGGAGGAGGTAACAATATGCCAGGTGCGCTTACATTGGTTCCCTTCCTGGTAGACAGACTCGAATTTTCTTAATACGTTGTTGGGAGTTTGAGATATTGATTTCAAACTCTCCTCTATAAGTTTGACAGTGTTTGAATTCGCTTGAGAAATGGACGAGCGGTAATTAAGAAGAGAATCAAACTATTATTATCAGTACTATTTTATTTGGGGTATTGCTATAAACATGCAGTTTTGAGGAGAGTTTATTCAGTTAGCTCGAGGTGCCGGAAGAAGGAGGAAGGTTGCTCCATGAGTGAGCGGCTGAAGTTAATGGATGTAATTTGGAAGGACAAAAGAGTTCGGTCAATGCACAGTTTGGATGAAAAGAAAATAAATTCATAGAGCATTCCAGTCTTCTCCCATTAATATGAGATAAAATATGGAGTATTCCTTTTAATTCGAATTCAGTTTAAAAAGAACGTAATGTAAAAAAAAAAAAATAATTATGCATTCAGGGTTAAATAAGAATAAGTCTTAAGATCAAAATATTTTTCTTGATTTTCAATTTAATTGTGTCATTGTTCATTCTAGAATTATTTTCTCATATGATTACTTGTTGCTTGTTGCTAGACGGTATCAATGGCTTACAGACGCAGCCTTTGCACAAGAGCAAATATTATAGCTCGGCAGTGTCATCCATCGATTAGTATTTTTGGTCATACTAATGACCGTAAAAATCAGCATGTGGATGGGGATTCGATTTCCCAGGAAAAAATCAATAATTTCCTGCAGAGGAGGTCATTTGGAACTAGCTTTAATGTATCATCCAGGTCTAATTTATTTCCTCATGGTAGAAGATATCCAAACGCTCTCCTCCCGTCAAGTGCTGGTTCCTTTTTCTGCCGCTACATGTCAAGTACTATTGGTGAAGGGTCTGAAAAGATTGAATTCATGAGTGATGTTGCAGAAGTTCTCACAGATACAACAGTTCAATCGGCAGTATCTCAGGCTGCTGTAGCTAATGAAGTAGCCATTGCTGCTGCTGATTCTTTTCTTCCTGTCAAGGGTTTGCAGTACTTTATAGATGGTATTCATTCTTTTACTGGATTAAATTGGTGAGGATCCCCATTTTTTCACACTTGGATTTCTGTATCATATATTATGTCGGGAACTTTTTATAATGAACAGTTTGTTGATGATCTAACATTTTCAATTCATTAGGTGGGCGTGCATTGTATTAACAACCCTGCTGATTCGTGGTGCAACATTCCCACTTTTGATAAATCAACTCAAATCTACTGCAAAGCTTACTGTATGTCAATTTTTTTATGTACTTTATTTTTCAAATTTATTTTTCGCAGTTTTTGGGACGTCCCTTTGTGGGGCTTGTCTTTGCATGCACTGTGTTTTTTTTTTTCTTTTTTTTCTTTTTTTCAGTGAAACCGTGGTTTCTTACAAATAGGAAGGGAAAAAAAAAAAAAAGAAGTTTCGACTTCTAGTTGTAAATTCTACCACTTGTGCACTCATTCATAGTTCGTTTTTCCTTTGGGTTACTGTAGTATCATCATTGGATTATTTTTTAGCTTTCCACCCAGTGTCTTGGCCCTGGAACCTTAGCAATATTTAATCCAGCTCATGGTCCTCATTCTCAACCAAGGAGCAATCTTTTAATGGTTAATTGGTATTGCCTTTCCTCAAATTCTGGTTTGTTGTTAGTAATATTTTTCTTGAGATTCTATCTCTCTCTAAGACATATTCATCCTTAAACACCAAGGGGTATCTGGGTGGTAAGGACTTTGAGGATGCTTCGAGATAGCTTCCAAGGTCGTGGGTTGTGCCCTCCAGTTGAAAACTTGATAATTTAAAATCTTTGTTGTCCTTGTTTCTGCATGGAGGTATGGGAGTGAGTGAAACCTTCCCAAGGATTAGGGGGACTGCCCTGAGCAAAATTGCTTGGAGTGAAGCCTCTGCATAAGTTGTCCAAAAAAGAAGGGGGTAAAAAAGATAAGCATCCACTTTGCTGATCTTTTATACTGCCACTTTGGTTTGAGCGAGAAAGGAGTTAACATGGCTGCAAATTGGATGCAGACCAAGTACTATCTGTTCATTTATCTCATTGAACTAACATGATGAATTTAGTATTTTTTATATTTTCAATATTTTCTGCATCCTTGTTTACATTTAATTCTATTGATTATCTGATCGAAGGGAAAACATGCTTGTGGATTCGTTCTTATAATCTAGTCCCACATTTGTTCCAGCTGCGTAGATAAATTTACTAGCTAGGTATTAAATCCAATATACCTTAACTTTGCACAACTAGATACGTGGGAAAGCTATTTGCTCATGCCACAGGCTGAAGAATGGAGAGCTTCCACCACTTATAGGGTTCGCCCTCTTGTTTTGGCATGAGCTATTACCTTCTGTGCTAGCATTAATTTTGTGGCATTTATATTATGCGTTTTTAGTCTTCAAGCTCATCTTCGTTCTGGCTTTTGTTGTGCTATCTCTATGTCAGTAATAAATAAAAAGGAGTCAGTGCACCAGTCATGATTGTTTTGCATCTTTTATCATGTTATCGGTTTTAATGTGATGCTTATCTCTTGACTATTGTGTAATATTCACAACTAACTGGGTATTGGTGTCTTCGATAAAAAAATTTAATCAAGTCTCATTTCTTGTGTAGTTGTTAAGGCCTCACTTGGAGGAAGTTAAGAATGAGATGCAAGAAAAGGTATTATGTCCGGTTCTTGTATTTATATTCTACCAGTATCATCTATTGGTTCATTTATCACATCAAAAGTTTTCTTTAATGTAAAGGCAATTGTATTTCATGCATAACTCTGGCCACTCTTCGAAGAAATATGATACAGTTACATGGTTTTCCCCCCATTGTTTTTCTTTTCCTCAGGGTATGGATCCCAGGGCTGTTGCTGAAGGTCAACAAAAAATGAAAAAACTTTTTCATGAGTAGGCTCTCCTTTTCATATTGTTATTCTCCTCATGATATGTGATTGAAGGCGATTACTTTTAGCTAGCAACCTTTCTTGAGAAAATCAGCGTGCTTTTGGTTCTGTTTTACCACTCTGGATTTTTCGAAGTACTTTTTGTGATTACTTTAGTTTCATGACTTTGACCTTGCAGGTTTGGTGTGAGCCCATTTACCCCATTGAAAGGGCTTTTTATTCAGGGTCCCGTTTTCATCAGTTTTTTTCTTGCGGTAACGTATTGCTTTACTTATAAATGACAAATGATAAAGCATTTAGGTATTTGACCTATATTGCTTATTACTCTTACTTTTCTCAATTGCAATTTTCTTTGGCAGATAACTAACATGGCAGAAAAAGTGCCTTCATTTAAAAACGGTGGAGCATACTGGTTTGTTGATCTTACGACTCCGGATACAATGTATATTTTTCCAGTTTTAACAGCACTCACATTCTGGATCACCGTGGAGGTAAACATCCGTACATTTGTATTTGTCTACTTTCTCAAACCAGCAGTCATGGCTCACTATTGATTTAGTTTGCATGGATCCCTTCAATATGTTCAATATTAGTTTGTAATTATTAGCTAGGTCTTATCCTTTTAGATTGGAGTCATTTCCTCTAGTTTTGTGGGCTCTTATTATTATTTTTTTTTTGTTAGGCTGTAGTTTTTTTTTTGTCCTCGTACCTTCTTTCATTTTCTAAAAAAATAAAAGCTTGGTTTCTTTTATATGTAAAAAAGTAGCATAACTGTTGGACCTGCTAAATCTCCATGGAGTAAACCTAGGTAAAATGTACCAACCCTTTGTGTGATAGGCGTATGTAGTGCAGTGATCACCGATCGTCATTTAACCAGCCCTAATTGGCTGAAGTTGATATAAAGTGCTTCCCTAATCACTTAGTTATAGCCATTTAAGGTTTATTTTTCTTCAATCTTCATCTACATCCACGTCTACTAAATAAATTTCATTTCACTTGACCGGTTTTATAATATTTATTTTCCATTTTTTTAAAATACTATTTTTGTAGTATATTACAGAATTAGTCTCAAACATTCTGATTTTGTTCTTTTTCTCAGTTCAATATGCAAGAAGGTATGGAAGGAAATCCTATGGCTGGTACAATGAAAAATGTGATGAGGGGTCTTGCTATTGCTACGGTCCCCTTGACCTCAAGTTTTCCAAAGGTATTTGCTATTTATTTGCTTGCATTCCACATGCATTATACAGGAAAATTGCTTTTGTTTGCTTGCTTCTGGGTCGAATGCAAGCACTTGAAATCAATCAGTGCTTGCCTTATGTTGGCTCTCAACCTAAGAAGCATGGACATGGGATATGAATATGGACTCGAAAATACACACGATATGCCATTTAACAAACTAGGACACGTACATGTCGGGGATACCTTCTTTTAGGATATATGTAAATTTAGACAGAAAAAAGAACTTTAAACTGTGAAGAAGCCAATAATGTAGAGGATGAACGGCAGCGAACAAGGCTGGCAGCAGGCAGTTGCAAAGAAGGCCGGCGTGGGCATTGTCGGCGAGTTGGGTGTGGGTGGCTTCTTTGCGTTTGACTTCAAAAGGAGGAGTGAGATGAAAACTTGCTAGGCTGTTGGGGTTTAATTTTTTACAATTTAGTATTTATTGTTTTTTTTTTTTTTTTTTTTTTTGAACAAAATTAAACTTCTTTGTGCCTTTAAGATTAAGATTCGATTTTCGATGCCTAGAATCGCAGGTCACCACAAACACTCAAAGCTAAATGTATGAACCCTCAAAGCTAAATGTTTGTGGTTCATAGCTTTTAGTTACTGCATTTAGTGTTTGCACTTTGATATAACTTATGTTACATTGTATCAAGTCATTTAATGTTGGAACATATATATGATTGCGCTTGGGAATTTATTTTTCAAGATCCTTCTTTTCCTTATAAACTATAATAATGCGTGAAACTTGGATTGTGGTATTTGATGAAACATAGCTTTTTGACTATACCTCAGCTTTACTCGGGTCACTTATTCTGGTATTGTTGCAGGCAATATTCTGTTACTGGGTTACATCTAACCTATTCTCACTTGCCTATGGAGCAGGTGAGTCCTTTGAGCCTCTAATGGTCGCCATTTATCTTTTACTGTTGTCCTCTTATCAATTGACTTCTGTAATTTTATCTTTTAAAGCATCCATGTACTGTTTCTTTGTCTTCATTTTCGAGAATATGATTTTGATCACAGTAGTTCGATAAACATAATGCATTTCAGAAGTTCCCTATTCACCTTCTTCTCTGACAAGTCTGAAAATGTCATGTTTGATAATTCTCAGTTCTCAAAGTTCCTGGGGTAAAGAAGGCCTTGGGTGTTCCAGAAATACCAGTGGCGGATAAGAATACCGCCCCACAACCTGCCTTCTCATTTCTTACAGCTCTGAAACAAGCAACAGCAGCACCCAAAGAACCTACCACCACCTCACTAACTGCTGAACCATCACGGTCACCATCGCCATTGCAAGACCGAAAAGTTTCATCATCGTCAGTTATCAGCCAGAGGCTTAGAAGTTTGGAAAAAGAAGTGAAGGGAAGGAAAAAGATGAAGAACAAGAAAAAGTGAGGGCTATATTTATTTCAGGTATTGGGACATCAATTACATTTATTTGTCTGTGCTGCTTGGTAGACTGTAGTATTAATGGCTAGTCAGTTGAGTTAGTGATAACTGATAATTTTCCTCCTAATGATAGTTTTAATACCCCAGGAAGAGACAGAGAGAGCCCAGCCAAACGAAAATAAATTCTTTGCTTGTGGAGTTTCTACAAGTTCAATCTAATTCTTTGTTTTTGTTGTCAGATATTTAAATTGCCTGTCATGAAGTAATTGCTTGTTGTTCTTGGGGTTTGAATGGAATGTAGTTTTTCAATAGGCCAGAAGATAAGATCCATGTGTTCAAGAATGCTGTAAGCTTTCAAGTCTAAGCTTGACGACAAAAGATGTATTGCATATATGTATGTATGTATGTATACATATGGCAGCACAATTTGTTGTGTCCAATTATTGAGGTTGGATTCAAGTCTTTTCAAAGAAATTGAAAGCAGGAAGTTGGTTATGGTTAATCTCAAAGCCCTAATGTTGAAGTCTCATCCAAGTTGAATGAAAGCTACAAGGCTTAATCACGGCCATTGAAGAGGCTCACCAACCAACCACCCAACTAACAACGATTACCATAATTCAATGAAAATACTCTCAATTCCTTGTGGGTTAATCATGTTCATATTTGATATCATAACCATGAGCTAAGATATGGTTGAAGTTTTTTGTTTTTAGTTTCCGTTGATGGCTGTTTGGTCTTTAGTTTTTGAAAATTATGTTCGGTTTCTTTCCCTTTCTTTGTTTTTTTCGCAAAACATTTGAATTCTTAGTCTAATTCTAAAAACAATAATAAATCTTCATTTTTAAAATTGGGTTTAATTTATTTGGTTCAAAGAAAATTTATGTGTAAAAAGTACCAAACATTTTAAATTTAAGCTTAAAATGGGTATATTTATTTAAATTTAAGACGCAATTTGAAGAAATTAAAAGTTTGGTATTATCTATTAAATTAGTTAGGGTAGAGTTAATAATATGATATACAACTTATTATAACTTTGACGACTGCACACATCCACATGTTTTGTCAATAATATAAATTAAAGTTATGTAACGTAGACTTCAAAAAAAAAAAAAAAAAAAACTATGGACTAAATAAATAGCACGTACAAAATTTGACAACCAAATTTATAATATATGCTTTTAATTTAATAAGTGGGATATAATACATCCACTAATACATTAAAAAATCAATCCAACCATATGGTGTTATATGTCAGAATCACACTCTTATGGAAGTGAGACAGCAATTGTGCAACACTTGTTCTAACGTGGCAAACAAATTAGCTATGTAAAAATTAAATTTATGATCGAGCCTCGAGTCACATAAAATGTTCCATGAAACTTGAGTGAGGAAATATTTGAAAACAAATTGAGAAAGCAACATTACACTATAGCAACAACTATTACTTTAATAGTATATAATTCAGATAGTACATTTTGGAGTATTTTAATCCTAAAGTGTATATATGATTTTGATGACTTTACACACTTTCGTATTAACATAACAAGAATAATAAAAACCCAACGAATATGAAATCAAGTAAAAAGAGTTTGAAACGGATACAACCATGGACAACATGTCCTAAACAAATATGACCAGGACATCCAACACGTGATCACAATAACACACCTTGAACAAGCATGATAACGACACTCTACCCCTTCATTCTAAAAGGTATTATTATTATTATTATTTATTACTGAAATAATTTAATGTATAATAGTTTTTTTTTTTTTTAATTTTTATTATTAATTTCCATTTTTAATGTTGTAAAAAATCATTTTAATTTTTTAAACAAAAAATATAGAACGTGGGAAGTTTTTATTAAAGTTTGGAAATCAGATGGTAAACGTGGTTTACGAGTTCTCCCATTAACGGAGATTTTTAAAAGCCATCTCATTGGGGCCCACAAAGCATACATAAAAATAAAAAAAAAACAAAAAAAAATACAAAATAATCTTGCATCCATTTTTTAAAATTAAATACTTTAAAATAAATTTATTGTATTTATTTTTTTCTTCCAAAAAAATTATAAGCCAATGAGTTCACTTTTTTTTTTCACTATTATTTATCATTATTTGCAATTTACATTTACTTTCGTATTTATTTATTTATTATATCTACAATAATTTTCAAACATTTAAATTCTTAGCTATATTTAAAAAAAAAATTAAAAGTTTTTAACTTTGATTAAATATAAAAATTTAATATTTACGAAAATAAAGGAGTGAACACAGAATGCTCCAAAAGGGAGTGTCTGAATTAATAATAAATGTAATTATTATTATAATAATAATTTTGGTGGGGACAAAAAAGAATTAAAAAAAAAAAAAGAAAAAAGGAAGAAAAAAGAATACTTTTTTTAGTGTATTTACCATTTACGACACATGGTAAGGTCACAGGAAGCACACCAATGTTTTGACTCTTCTGTACTTTATATTTGTGTATATAAACCATCTTCCTCCGCTTACTCAATTTCATCAATTTTTGACGAATCAACACGCTTTTCTTTTCTCTGTAACGGAGGCCGAAGGATGTCGCAGATGAAGTATTTGATTGAGGTGGAGAAGCACAAGGACGCCATTAATGGAAGGCATTCCATCGGACCCGTTTACAGAAGCATTTTCGCCAAAGATGGCTTTCCGCCGCCCATTCATGGATTGGATAGCTGTTGGGATATATTTAGGTGCGATTACTTCATTCTCTGTTTGTTTTTGGTGTTCATTTGTGGTTAGGAATGCTGAAGTAGAAATGTTTTCCTGTTTTATTCATCGGACTAGTTGAGTTCAGTTCAGATTTTTGGGTATTCTGCTGGCTGTTTTGATATTGATGATGTCTAGATTTTGTTTCTTTGAAGTATTAGTTTGAATGGTTTTGATCGAAGTTTTCATAGTTCGTTGTTGTTTTCTTTTTCTTAGTAGTTGGTTCTGCTGCTTTTAATTGGAACAGTGGTAGTTCAAATTGCTTGAGATCAATATCATGTTACGTGTCTGTGTTTTGCTTGCTCTGTTCTTATTTCTGTGCAGTACTTTAAAAAGTTTGGGGAATATTATGTAGTGCGTCAATTTTTCAATTGATTACTGTTGCATTGCAGGTTGTCAGTGGAAAGAAACCCTGGTAATCGGATGCTTGGGCACCGTGAGATTGTGAATGGGAAGGTATATCCATTTTGCAGATAATCCAGATGCCCCAAAGGGTTGTTTTGGTTCCTTTTTTTAAAATCTTCCCGTATGACCTTGCAATAAGTTGTACCTTGGGTCTGTTTTGTTTTTCACAGGCAGGTAAATATGTGTGGCTAACATATAAGGAAGTGTACGATATAGTCATAAAAATTGGGAATTCTTTGCGCAGTAGAGGTTTTGCAGAAGTAAGTTCCCATCCTTATTAGGATATTTGATTCATTTCTGCAAGTACATCTCTGCAAATCTTGTGGATTGAAGCTTGAACTAATTTCTGTTTATAGGGAGTAAAATGTGGCATCTATGGTGCCAATTGCTCGGAGTGGATAATAAGCATGGAGGTAGAGTTTTACTTTTGCTCCTGACTTCTTTCTTGATACCATTTTTCTTTTATCTTCTTCAGTAGTTTGTTGTTAATGTATTTGTGGAGGATTTGGAAAATCCTGTTGTCATGATATCCAAGGAGAAGTCAGTTTGTTCTTCTTTGGAGTTTACGAATCACGAGACTGTCACAGGACACACTCTCTAATTTATCATTGCTTTATTCGAGATGAATATTACATGACATTGAAGAACACTTGCAGGCGTGTAACGCTCATGGGCTATACTGTGTTCCTTTGTATGACACATTAGGTATGCTGTATGGTTTGAGTCTAATCTCCTTCTCTTTCTGTATCTCTTTTATAAGAAAAAAAATTAAAGGAAGCTGATGAACTTTCTGTATTCGATTCATCGTTTAGGTGCTGGTGCTGTGGAATTCATTATATGCCATTCAGAGATATCTATTGCCTTTGTAGAAGAGAAGAAGTTACCTGAGGTACAGTCCTAATATGATGGAAGTCTGAAATTTAGTATCTTGGTAATTAACTTTGCATCTTTACTCGAGAGCTGGTCTAGGACCTCGGAGAATGGTGATTCAGTGGCACAATATGCATGGTACTTGTCCTGGGTAGTTTTGATCATATGAATTTTATCTTTTTCTTTCCAGATCTTGAAAACATGCCCGAGCACAACCAAATACTTGAAAAGTGAGTTTTTATCACTACTGAGATTCTCTGGCCTATGATGTCTATAAAAGAAACTTTTCATTTTTTTTAGTTTATTTTTATCTTTAGTAAAACTTTTCATTTGCTTGCTTGTAGCAATTGTGAGTTATGGCAAGGTTACACCTAATCTGAGAGAGGAGTTCGAGAAGTATGGGCTTGAAATATTTTCTTGGGATGAATTTTTGCTTCTGGTAAGTTATTATACGTGATCATTTGGCTCATCTGTACAGGATCCTCATTACTTATTCATAAAGTTATTAGCATGGACGATGAACTGAAAACTTTGTTCTTAAGATATTTGTAAAGATATGTATAGACACGGTAATAGCTTTTTTTTCATCATCTTTCATCACAAGAACAAAATACAAAATAATCTCATAAACTTCTGAGTTTCCATTTCTTGAATCTGCTTAAAACAGGGTGAAAACCAACATTTTGATCTTCCCGTGAAAAAGAAAAGTGACATTTCCACAATTATGTATACAAGTGGGACTACCGGAGATCCAAAAGGAGTGATAATATCAAACAAAAGCATAATTTCACTTATAGCTGGTGTTCAGCGTCTACTTGAGAGCGTAAATGAATCGGTAGTTTACCTTAGCTTCTGCTTACAAGGTTTTATTTATGAAAACCTAGTAATGAAGATTTGATGTACCTTTTTCTCTCTGTCTCTCATACAGTTGAATGAGAAAGATGTATATTTGTCATACCTTCCATTAGCACATATCTTTGACCGGGTGATCGAGGAGTTGTTTATCTTACATGGTGCCTCCATTGGATTTTGGCGTGGGGTGAGTAATCAATCATTTGACCTTTTTAGTGCACCAAATACAAGGTTTGTAAAAGTTGCTCATCATTTTCATTCTATAGGATGTTAAATTGTTGGTTGAAGATATTGGGGAGCTCAAACCCAGTATTTTCTGTGCTGTTCCTCGTGTTTTGGATAGAATTTATGCTGGTAAGCTGTCCATGTGAATTTTATGATTCTTCTTTTTGCCTCCTAGAGATAATTGAGAACAAACGTCCCTAGACCCAAAACCAATTCTAATGAATTGTAGGAATTATCCAGGGCATTGCACTGGTCTTGTCACTTTGGGCTATGAATGCTAATAAAGTTTTATCTCCTATGATCAAAATAATTATTATTATATTTTCTCAGGCTTGACTCAGAAGTTAGATGCAGGGGGCATCTTTAAGAAGACGTTATTCAATCTTGCATACTCACGGTAAGTAATGTTCCACTTTGTTTAATTTTCTTAGAAAAGGTATGAAAGTAGTTGTAACAGTCCAAGCCTACCGCTAGCCGATATTGTCATCTTTGGGCTTTCCCTTCTAGGCTTCCCCTCAAGGTTTTAAAATGCGTTGGTTAAGGAGAGGTTTTCACACCCTTATAAGTAATGTTTCATTCCTCACTCCAACTGATGTGAGATCTCACAATCCACCCCATTTGGGGGCCAATATCCTCGCTGGCACACCGCCCAGTGTCTGGCTCTAATACCATTTGTAATAGTTCAAGCTCATTGCTAGCAGTTATTGTCTGCTTTAGCTTGTTATGTATCGTTGTCTGTCTCACGATTTTTAAAACGCGTCTACTAGGGAGAGGTTTCCACACCTTTATAAGGAATGTTTTGTTCCCCTCTCCAACTGACGTGGGATCTTAAATTTTGATAAAATATAGTTTTATGTAATCTCATCCTATTCCTTTTTGAAGAACTTTCTTAATCTACATGACACATGTTATTTTTATATACAAAGTCGTCTATGTTCGACATGGTTCACTAACAGCCTTAGAACTTGATAATAATTTGATCAACTTTTTGATCAATGGATCGTATTTTGGGGTATGATTATGAATCTAACACTTCTGTTGTTCTTATCATATTGTTAATGTGATTCGATTTATATGATGCTGCAGCAAATTTGGTAACATGCAAAAGGGGCATAAACATGGTGAGGCATCTCCCATTTGTGACAAATTTGTCTTTAATAAGGTGAAAACAATTTTCTAATTTCTTGTCACAACTCCTAATTGACATGATGAGCCTCAGATTTACTAAAATTTACATTCTTATTTTGTTCTCTTGGGGTTCTTATCAGGTAAAGGAAGGGTTGGGAGGTAATGTGAGACTTATTCTATCTGGAGCCGCCCCTCTATCAACTCACGTAGAAACTTTCTTAAGAGTTGTAGCATGTGCACATGTTCTACAAGGATATGGTAAGCCATTTCTGCAGTTCATTCTACAGTTTCTGATCTCCATCAACTCATAGATTTCTTGTTTATTTTGGCATTCCTTCCGTTTCTGTTTCAATGATGATTATGTTCATGCTAATGTAGGTTTGACAGAGACCTGTGCTGGGACTTTTGTCTCATTGCCTAATGAACTCTCAATGTTGGGAACAGTTGGCCCTCCAGTTCCAAATGTGGATGTCTGCCTAGAATCTGTACCCGAAATGGGATACGATGCCCTTTCAACCACACCACGAGGGGAAATATGTGTTAGGGGAGACCCATTGTTTTCTGGATACTTCAAGCGTGATGACCTAACCAATGAGGTCATGATTGACGGATGGTTTCATACAGGTAGTCTTAATCAGTGCAGTAAAACTTGTTTCCTCTGTTTTTCTTTTTTTTTTTTTAATCATAAATTTGCCTCTTTCTTTCTCCTTTCTTCAGGTGATATTGGTGAGTGGCAACCAAATGGAAGCATGAAAATTATTGATCGCAAGAAGAATATTTTCAAGCTTTCTCAGGGAGAATATGTTGCTGTGGAAAATTTGGAGAATATTTATGGTCTTGTATCTTCTATAGATATGGTATATTCTGAACTTCTGTTAACTTTTATTCTTCATTTATTTATGGCTTATGCATGGTATTCTATTGTTGAATTTAGATCTGGGTCTACGGGAACAGTTTTGAGTCCTTCCTAGTTGCAGTGGCTAACCCCAACAAGCTAGCACTCGAACGATGGGCGAACGAAAACAGTATCAAAGGGGACTTCGATTCACTTTGTGAAGATAAGAGGGCAAAAGACTACCTGCTTGGGGAGCTAAACAGAATTGCAAAAGAAAAGAAGGTTCTATTTCGGCCTAAGTTGCTACGGATTTCTATTGATTTGAGTAACCAATTATTAGTCTGATTGTCTAAAAACTAACATGAAGCTCACACTCTTGTTCTTGACAGTTGAAAGGCTTCGAGTTTATTAAAGCCATTCACCTTGATCCACTACCATTTGATATGGAACGTGACCTTATAACTCCAACATACAAGAAGAAGAGGCCTCAGTTGCTAAAATGTTATCAGGTTCGTATTCGAAAAACGACCTATCTCATCGATCAATTTAGTCATATTCCCCAAACATGCCAAACCTATTCATTTTAGAATAATACACTTAGGAATAAGCATTAGAACTTCATAGGATTTAAACTAAATGGTACTCCGTGCTTATATTTCATTCTGATATTTGACTAAATGACTGCACTTGAAACATAAATTATGCATAATCTTCGAGCATTTCACTCGAAAAAACTATTCTCAAAAGTCATTTCAAACTCACTCCTCTTGGATCATTTACGTCCGAAATCAATGTCTGAAATAATGCAGATGAAATCAATGTCTGAAATAATGCAGATGAAATCAATGTCTGAAATAATGCTGATGACCTGTTCTTTCATTATTACCATTATTTTTGGGCAGAATGTAATTGACAGTATGTACAATAATGCAAAGAAGCCCTAATGACGGAAGATGACATTAATGGAGCCATTGCCAGCTGCACTGTTTTTCATCGTATGATCCCTTTTTACTGTATATATGGATCAATTTAGGTGAATGAAAAAGCTCTGTTTTTAGGGGGGACGTGAAAATTTACCCAAACATCTATATTTAAGCATTTAGTTGTATTATAAAAAAGATGTCGCTTTTATGGAACATTTGTTTTTGTACTTTTAACGTTGTTATTAATTTTTAACAGTCTTTGTTGGTAATAAATGGGATTATAAATACGAATTGATGTGATGTTGATATTCTTAAAAACGACGTCTGATACTTGCAAATTAGGTAGGTTGCATGTCCTTTATGTTCATATGGACATATTGAATGTCTTAAGATAGGCATATATAATAAATGAAGAAAGGAGTAAATGAGACTCCCACCCACCTCTTGACCCATTTCATTACTCATAACCTTTAAAGCATACTTTCAAGTTGTTTTTAGTCTTTTTCATGATTAGAGTGATGATTTAGACATCGGTAAAATTAGCTATTTAAAGCTTAAGCTATTTCAACGGATAGAGTTTGAAATAAAACAGTACAGTGATTCAATGAGAGCTACGAACCTCATCACCTAACAAATTTTGTGGAGAGTTCGGAGCATTTAAACCTTGAACAGAAAATTCTCCTCATTCTTGGTCTTTGATCATCAAGATAATTTGTCTAATCCTTCCCATCGTTAGGAATCACGACTCTCCATAATTATATGATATTGTCCACTTTGAGCATAAGCTCTCGTGGCTTTGCTTTGGACTTCTCTAAAAGGCTTCATATCAATGGAGATAATATTCCTCACTTATAAACTCCATGATCTTCCACTAAATTAACCAATGTATGACTCACTCTCAATAATCCTCGATCACCCAGGGCATCAAAATCAATTTGAAAGTTTTAGTATTTGAATATTTCAAATCACTAGGAATCACATCAATCCCAACAAAGTAGGAGAAGGCATTGCCGGCAAAGAAAACCAACATAATTTCTTAACAGGATTGTCACGACTGAGTCATTCCATATTCTTCCCATATTGCTTAAACAAGATATCATAACCTGTTGAAAACAATCATTAGAGGGGGAAAAGTTCAAAGTAGTTAAAATGGGGGATAAGAAGATGCAATATTATGGACAACTTCACATATAGGCAACATTAGAAGGGGAAAAGTTCAAAGTAGTTAAAATGGGGGAGAAGAAAATGCAATATTATGGACAACTTCACATATAGGCAACAGCATTCAGTTTTTTCTTTTCATTTCATTTTCCTTTGGGAATCTCACTGATTTGTTCTCATCTATATAACAAAAATTATTACACTCGATGAAAATTTCTCTATATTACCAAAATACATAACTCACGTAATGGGTAAGTTAACTTAAGAGATCTAAATATAATGAGCCTCAGTCATCAATAGTAAAATAGGATTAGCAAATAATTAGAACTGAAAGGTACCTTCCAAAAATGAAACTACCATGATCGTCTAGGGACGTCGTGTCTTCTATGATACTGACTCCAGCTTTCTGCAATCTAGCAATCTATGGAAGAACATAGACTATTCATCCCCTTTTTAGATACACAAGTTTACTCCAGGTTCACTTTCTCCTTGCATTAAATCAAAAGAAACTCTGTTCCAGTTTAAACCTCTTATACATTTCCTCTACTGAGATTCTCCCTTTCTCAATGTCCGTCCCTTCTTCTGCAGTGCTAACCTCAAATGTTTCTATCCCACGCTTTGTAGTATCCTTCAGGTTGATCTCAACCAGAAACAATCCATGTAATTAAGATTCAAACTGAAGCATGCTTCAACGAAATTCCACTAGTTTCCTATGTGGAACACACAATTAGTTTGTCAACATAAATATCTAATCTAAACATAATGAACCTGAGCCAACAATAGTCAATGGGATTACCAAATAATTCAATTCTCAGAATACTTTAGGCAACTGCTTGTTACTGCGTCTTCAGGAATCAGACTTATGACTGGTTTCAGGAGTAGATGTGGAACTGTGGGCCAACGAAGAAAACTGTAGGGCAAGTAGCTCTTCTCTGCTGTACTTCAACCTTTGATCTATTGCATAAAGGGAAAGAAAAAAAGAAAAAATTCATATAACCTCGTAAACGATAACCTACTTAGAATCAAGATTTAGATACTGACATCCCTTGCATTACTTCTCATCATTTTATACTTCACTTGAATGCTCTCAACATTAACCAGAACATCAAATTATTCTTCACAAAGAAAATATTTTTATACCTGTTATTTTCTCAGTAACGTAGAGCAAATATTATCAGCATATATGCATGTAAAAACTCACCATGTGATATTTTTCTTAGTTACATACCTACAAAATATGGTGACGTGACAGTAGATCTGTTTCTCTGGTTCAGTCGTAATTTCTTTGGAGTGAGATGGGTTGATGGTCGGTTGGAGGAAGTAGGATCAGATAAGAAGTGAAAAAGTTCATGTCTAACTTCAATTTGTGGAAACCTTCTGTGAAATTCCAAAAGACCATCCTCAGTGAGGAGCCAACAACCTCTCAAGTCAATCTTTTGCAGAGTTGCCGCAGGCTTGAGAAAATCAAATGCCTGGTTAGTCAAAACTGCATCACGAATACTGAAGGTTTTCAGGTTGGGCAAAATTGACAAGTAGCTCAGGGACACATCCGTAAATGAGGGACTTCTGATCAGCAAGTGACTCAGCCTTGGGAATTTTGATAATGGGCGTAGAGATCCATCATCAACGTGAGTATGCTCCAGATTCAACATTTCTAAACAATCAAGGGTTCGCAATTTTGTCAATGAGAGAAATTCACTTCCCTCTGCAGCTGATAGGTGAATATAACCTGAAATTTATGAACCAAAAAAAAAAAAAAAAAAAAAAAAAAAAAAAAAAAAA